TTTTTTTTTTTTTTTTTTTTGAGTTGAATCCGCGATTGTGGATGAAAGGCGTGACCCTATTCCGGTAGGCGTGCGCGTTTACGTGTATATGTTATTCCTGTGGGTGTGTAATTGCGTGTCTTTTTTTTTCTTTTTTACTTCTGTTTTTCGCTGTTGTTTCTGCGCCTTATCTTCACCACATGATTTACCTCCCGAGCTGTTTTGTGTCTGCCGTTGTGTGTGTGTGTGTGTGCCTCTTTTTTTGTACTTTTATGCATTTGCCTCTTTCTTGAATTCCTTCTTTTTTTTTTGTTTTTTTTTATTTCATGTCGTTTTTTTTTATTTTTATTTTGAAGACTATTTTTTCTTTTCTTCTTTTTGTTTTTTTTGCCCCCCCTCTTTTCCCCTCTTTTTTTTTTTTCCTTTTTTTTTTGTTTTTCTTTTTTTGTTTGGTCGTGTTGAGCGCCCGGTGGAAAATCACCAATTTTTTTTTTTTTGGTGCCGTCTGCCTTTAAAAAAAAAGAAAATTTGGTGATTTTCCCGAAGTCTTGCCGAGCGGGTGCGAGCACCCGAGACGATGGGCGCGTGGGTGCGGGAAGAGAGTGCAGGAAATGGGGACGTGGACATTTGTTTGTGTCTCGTGTGAAGCCGCGGTGTGTGTGTGTGGGGACACCGTCCAGCGAGCAGCGGAGTGAGGAATAAGTGGACGTGGGGCCACCAACTCCCTCCCCCTCCCACCGTTCCGCCAAAGTGCGCAGCCCGACGTGATGATGTTTTTTTTTTTTTTTTTTGGATTTGCGGCTTTTCAGGATTACAAGCTGTTGGACGAGGCTCCGAAAATAAAAAAAAAAAAAAAAAGAAAGCACCAAACAAACAAACAACAACAACAAAGTCAAAATAAGTGGCGTTGATTGGCCACCACGTCGTCCTCTGAGTCCTGTTCCCGCGCCTCCTCCCGGTGTCTTTGGATCATGAGCACAATCCGTCTTCTTTTCTTTTTTTTTTCTTTTTTTTTCTCTTTGCTGGGAGAAGAGACCCCGCATCGTTCGGGATTTGTAGACGGTGAGTTTAAACAACGTCTTTTCGCAACTCTGACATTTGCGGTGCTGTACAGTAGCACAAGTCCCTTTCCATACACACAGAAAGAAATTTAGAATGCTTCATGGTGGCGTTTTTGTGGGCACCACAAATAAAAAGTGAACCCATCAAATTTTCTTTTTGGTTCCTCTTCTTGAGCCGCCACTTCAAGGAGGACGCCGGAGGCAACCAACCAAAACGAGAGTCTCGTGGAAGGTGACAGGGAGGGTGTGCAAAGGTTGCAGACCAACAGGAACTGGCTTTGCTTTTTTGTGGTTCTATTTGATTTCCATGCTTTTTTCCAGCAATGCTTCACCCCTGGCTTTGATGCTGCATCTGTTATGGCGGTGTAATGGAAAACCAGTTTCCAGTGCTTTTATTTTACAGTAGGCATGAAACTTTTTCTGGAGTTTAAGTTGCCTGAGAATCACCGTTGTTCGCTTGGCTTGCCGCATTATCACCTGTAGCAGATGTCGATGGAGCGGGAGTTCGTGCGCATTTGCAGGGCGGCTGAGCGTCCCCATGAGGAGGAAGCGAGGTAACTGACAGAAAGGGGCGAGAAGAAAAACTCCAGTTGCCCCCTGTTCTTGAAATAACAAATGCCCTGTAGGAGGAATAGCCGCATTTTTGAATTGAAATACGAAGACAGTGCCCTTCTTTGTGATGTTCTTTTTTTTTTCTTTTTGTGTTCTCGACGCAAGGACGGTGAGGGAAGGAGTGGAGGCACATCAAAAGGAGAAGGCAGTAGGAGGTGATATACATATATATATATATATATTTATTTATTTTTACTTTTTTTATTTTATTTGAAAAGGAGCGGACGTGTGGTGTTGTGTTGTGCCGGACGGATTGTGCGAGACGTTGCGGCGACCGACCGTTGTGTGTGTGTGCGTGTCTCCCGCATGTATAACGCTGACTACTTTGGCAGCTTCCATGACTTGGAAGGCAGTTGGATGGACCCTGGCGAATTTGAGATGGACTGCGGGTACCAGGATGATGCGCTCCAAGAAAATTTTTGTGACCAGACGCCGTTGCCGGAGGAGTGGAGAAGTTTTGCTCCGACTGAAGATCCGTGGGAATTTCAGCAACAGCGAGCGGAGTTCATGCAGGAGGAGGAAGCGGGGCCATCTTCTGAGTTCCGTGCGTGTGAGGTGCCGGAATTGTCTTTTCTGGATCAGTTCCTTGCGGTTGTTGAGCGTGTTTTTCGGCAGTGTTTGCGAACGAAGCTGGGGCTTCTTCTGGAGGTGGGAATCCCGATTCTATTTTTCTGCATCACCGTTTTTCTGTGGTCCCTCTGGGGCACGGAAAAATTCACTGAGACAAATTTTGTGAATTACTCCCATATGCAGTCATTTATTGATGCGGATTTCTACATGTTCTATGTGTGCTCCCGTACCCCAGGCGGAGTGCACGGTCTCCCTCCTTGTAATCCAGGAGTTCCCCTTGATTGCAAAGGTGACGAGAGCACATTACCCGTCAAAGGCCTCTGCGTGTACGCCTCGGTTGGCGCTTCACTCTTGTTGCATGCATTTTTGAATTCCTTTAACGGCCGCATTGCCGAGCTCCCCACACTGGATGCCATTGTCGTTTTTCAGTGGTTGGCGCGCAAGAGTTTTAAAATGGATTCATCGCCCTTTGGTATATATCCCAAGACGCGCTTCTCTGCTATTACTTCCTCCGGCATGTTGTATTTTGTTGGAGATCCAACGTTCCTTAGGGGATTAACCGCAGAGTTTGAGAAAAGTTCCAAGTTTTTTAATTACGTGAACGGTGGCATTTACAACACGATGAAAGAAGCTGAAAGACAATTTGAGAACAACCCATTCAATTGGGGCATCGTTCATGTGCGTCGTGCTGACCGTCACGCCTTGGACGCTATAATTTATCTTAATGCTACCGCAGTGCCGGATTTTGACGAGATTGTTTCAGACGCCTACCCTGGCGGTTTTCAATTTGACAGGGCGGAAATGTACGTTCTGTCGGGCTACCTTACACTGCAGAAACTAATATCGGAGTACTACATTAACCAACTTTCCCCCACGCTCCGTCTGGATACAACTGCCTACATTGCATCTCAGGCGTTTGTCGAGTATCGTCAGGCAACTTTTTTGATGAATGCACGCGACATTCTGCCTCTCATATTTGTATTGGCTTTTCTCTACTCCGTCTCAACACGAACGAAAGCAATCGTATTGGAGAAGGAAATGCGTATTCGTGAAGCAATGCTCATAATGGGCATGAAAGATGTCGTGATTTATGCGGTATGGCTTGTGAGATCCGTTTCGATTGACTTCTTTGTGTGTATATTCATCAGCATTCTATTGAAATGCACTTATATGACGCAAAGCGATCCATTCATTATCTTCTGTGTGTTTTTTTTATTTACTTTGACGACCATCCCACTTTCTGGACTCTTGTCTGCTTTTTTCAGCAAGGCTCGCCTTGCGTCATTGCTTTCACCGATTATCTACTTTATCCTGACGCTTCCGACTATGGCCACCTCCGAAACGAACAGCGCACTGACTATAATTTTTGCCTTACTTTCACCTTCCGCTTTTGTTACAATACTTAAACACATCTTAGCGGATGAATTCGCGCGTGGGTTTTCCGCAAAAAATCTGGCGGACAGTTTATACGAACCAAAGACAGTAGTGGTGTTGTGTGTAATGCTTGTTGATTTTTTTATCTATTTTATTCTCATGTTGTACCTGGACGCCGTTATACCAAAGGACTGGGGAACAAATAAACACCCATTCTTTTTTATTATTGATCCTATACGTTGGTACTTTTCAAAAGGAGACGTGTACGAGGGGGGTGGCCCTGACGGGCGGGCCCCGGATGGTGTCTTTGAACATGATGGGGAAGAAGAGGAGGGAATTGTGGTGAGAATTTGTGGCCTGCGGAAGGTGTACCGGCGAGGCGGAAAGAGATTTACTGCGGTGCAAAATCTGTACTGGAATCTGCGTGAGGGGGAGATATCTGTGTTGCTTGGACGCAATGGTGCGGGGAAGTCGACAACGCTGAACATGATGACGGGCATGGTGAGACCTGACGGCGGCGACTGCTACGTGTATGGACTCTCAGTGCGGCACCAATTATCGCGTGTGCGGCGGGAGATTGGATTTTGTCCACAGCACAACATTTTGTGGCCGGAACTGACATGCCGCGAGCATCTGGAGTTCTTTGCCAAAATAAAGGGTCTTAAGGGGGCTGAGCTGGAGAAGGCGGTGCAGCGAATGCTGCACGAGACAGACATGTTAGAAAAGATTGATTTTCCTGCCATGCGACTTTCCGGTGGGCAGAAGCGGAAGCTGTCTTTGGGTCTTGCGTTTGTGGGCCAGAGCCGTCTTGTGTTTCTTGATGAGCCGACTGCTGGCATGGACGTTGGTGCACGCCGTCACATATGGGAATTGCTAAGGCGAATGTCTTCCTTCCACACCATCCTGTTGACGACGCATTACATGGACGAGGCGGATTTACTGGGGCACCGGATTGGTATCATGAAAAACGGCTCTCTACAATGCTCTGGCAGCAGTTTGTTTTTGAAATCCAGGTTGGGTTTGGGTTATAGTCTTACTATCGCCATGGTCCCGGATGGAGATTTTGATTCCATCCATCAAATCGTAGAAGAAAATATTCCAAATGTGTTGTTTCTTGGTTATAGTGGTTTTCATCTGTCGTACTGTTTGCCGATGAGCGAAGCCTCGAATTTTTCTGAACTCCTGTACAGCATTGAAGGTCACGCTAATTATGGCGTATGTGGATATTCGATTTCTGCAGCAACTCTTGAGGATGTATTTTTGCG